AAACTGGACTTATTATTATTGCTGAATTGTAAGAAGTTAAAGAAAGTACCTATTACTTTATAATCAATACTATTGGATATTGTGCATATAAAAAATACTGATAATTTGATTTGAGTTATGACTCGAAAAACTCAAGATGTTATTAAGAAAAGGGGTGATACTTAATAAGCAAATTATATTTACTAGAAATCTATCTCCGTTTTTCATTTACATTTTTGGATAAGACTACTAGTGAATCGCCAAAATGTTATCTGTATACGGAACAATACGTTTCCAATTTTTCTATCAATGAATAGATCGCAGGTACCTTCGAATATGCCAAGTAATAAAATAAGAGGGAATACAAATTAAGGCCTTTAATAGCGGACACTGTTTTGTTTCTTAATTACACATATTCTTGTGAGATAAATTATTGTATTTCTTTTACTGAAATTTAAAATGGCCTATTTTATTTTGCACGAAACTATTTAATTAAAAAAATAATAATATATTATACAATAAATATAACAAAAAATAATTTGTTCTTGGGATAACAGATGATCACTGTATGTGGAAAAGCCATTATCATTTATCACTAGAACCGCTAAAGTTGCAATACATTTTAAATTACATACGTGTTTCTGAGTTTTTGGGTCATACAATCCACAAACTTGTTTTTGTATGTCTATTGTGTTTTAGTTTCATCTTATAGTTACTTTGTTCTAATTTCTAGGCGATTTTTTTTAAAACTGGACATTAGTAGACCAAATCTGAGTGGATACGTTGTTCTAAGTATTTAGCTAGGATTCAACTAGAAATATAATACAATTTCAATAGGAAGTGATACATAAATAATTTTTTGGAATATACGTCAAAAGTTCACTTTGATGTGAAATAATATATTGTATTTAGTATTTACACGAATAAATTGAAATTTCCTGCAAAAAAATGTTAAGAATAGTTGTATAAATCGAATATAGGAAAAAAACGACAATGTAAAAAACGTCAAATTTATTTTTTTCTAAAAATCACAAATATCTTATAGGTAGTATATGATATAGATGTTATAAAACAATTCACAAGTTACGTTGAATAAAATATTATAGTTTAGTAATAGTTTCAAAAAAATCACTAATATCTAATAGTTTATGTTATAGATATTAAACAATTTACGATATCTCTTTCCCCACTTGAATATTCATCACAAATATTTTTAAATTTATTTTGTAACTTTGCATAAATCTAAAAAAAATATTAGTTATAAGTTAATATTAATTGTTGTATAAATTATAGTTATATCATGTACAATGATTTATCATTGGATTTAAATTTAACACATCCATCACAGTGACCTACTTAATGACGAGGTCCACTCGACACCTACTAATTACTATACAGCAGAGCGAGTTCCCAGATTTTTATACTATAGACTCAGATTTTTATACAAAAAATGTATTTCTACTCACATTTTAAACAATATTTGAGTAGATTTATGAAAAAATTATTTACCTCGAGTTTATCAACTATAATATGACTATGGATTTTTCCATTTTGAGGATCTCATATCTTCAAGCCCAAGCATATTTTTCCATGACATTTCAATGAGTATTCATCCGTACACCTCCACGTTAAACGACTACATCCTTGATGTTTCATAATATATGTGTATCTACTTCAACAGATTTTGGTCCTATCTTTGTTCAACTTCATAACTTCCATATTTTTCAAAAATGTACGGTAATATATCACGTATTCAAGATTGAGAATTAATTGAAGCTTAAGATTGAAACAGAATGTATGGAAGTTGAAGTTTATATCCAGAATTTTATCACGATTATCTAAAGTCATTCATTTTAAACCTTTATCATACCCAAAACTCAATAGGTTCTAGGATTTTACGTATATTTGTCTGCTAAATTTGGCCTATATAAATACATCTACGACAGTTATGTGGAATGGGTTTGATAAGACGCTGGACCTGCAATATTGTTGTTACCTATAGTAGCGATGATACATAAATAATATCAGTATTCAGTATAATAACTTACAACTTATAATAATAATAATACTATATACTATTTTACTTATAGTAACTTATAACTTTTCGTTTTTTACCGATTACCGCATAAATCATCCCTTTGGGAAACTTTCACTAATTATAAATTGTAAGGGTTAACCCTTCTACACAAACCTATAAAAAGTATATTTTAACTATGAAATATAAATTCATTTCAACAATGGTTCAGATTGAAATATACTTGAGCAAATAATTCCAACGTTATCAACAAAGTAAAATGTACAAAACATAATAAGTAATAACTCATTATTAAACTAAATATGCAAATGAATCAAAAGTTTAAACCAAGTAGATTAATTTTATTCATTATAGTAATTATACCGTTGTAAGTATTGCTTAAATCCGAAAAATATAGTATTGTCGACCAACACGCAACATTAATGCAATTAATAATAAAATAATGACAAACAGCTAGTGATAATTCCACGAGTGTACGTTATGAGACGCGCACCTGCAGTGGTGGTTATACTAATGAGTACCTTTGGTAGATTGGTAGGTAGTTGGTTTCAACGATAGAACATATTATTAACTCAAACTAGAAAACGTAATACCTCTGGCACTTCTAAATGATTGTGCGAATCATTCAAGCATTGATTGACAACGGATATTAAGAAAATACATACACTGTCGTTAGTGGCATTCAAGTGTGTATTGAGTGCGCAATGAGCACAGCCGCGATTGAACGTAAACTGTATGAAAAAAAAACCAAGGAACTCTGAAGCCGATCTACTGTATAGAAGATTTCGAGTTTACCTTTTCAACAAATACCTAACTGTAATGGACGTGTTAAATTTGAATTCAATGATGTATCGTGGTTTGCGAAAACCGATTATTATAGCTGCAGAAATGTTGTGCCGACGAATAGACATCTACGGATATTTATACAGTCAATAATTTAGTTACCTATGGTTAATACGGAATATTTAAGTGTCAAAAACAAAGGACATCTTATATTATTTATAATCACTGATGACATATAAATATAATATAAATAAAAATAGTGATGAGTGATAAAAAGCTCAAAATTCGTGTATTTTTTTTTTTGAAAATTATTCTGTGCATAAAAAAATTAGAAAATAGTTTTATGCATGTGGAACTTATATGTTTAATATTTTCGAGTTACAACCAAATATTTAAAACGATTATTATTTTTAAATTAGCGATGCGTGAATATTCTAGGGGTTTTTACTTTTAAATCGACCTCCATCCTCTCACCAAAAAGTACCGATAAGTTACAACTAACTACTATAGACACCAACCTCAAATTTGAAGATTGAATAATTTAACTACTTCCAAGACCCTCCAAAAAACCTCATCATTGTAAAACTAATAAGTATTGGGAATAATTGAGTTACAATATGAATAATACTAGTTTGGTTAATATAATAAGTTATGAATAAAAACCTATTGTATTAAAATGTTATAAAGCCAATCACAGAAATTTCATCTTAAATATATATTCATCGTGCAGATTAAAGTTGTTAAGCTAAAACCAATGAGCATTACTTGATAACTAACTTCTTAAATTTAATAGCCATAGAAATTCATTAAAAAATGCTAAATATTATTAGAGAAAATCAAATTTAAAAGGTAAATTAATACATGGTAAAAAACGGTTTGTTAAAAAATTAACATAAATATAATGATGGTAGGTAATGTAAATAAAATGTTATTAATTTATATGAAAAAAAATGTTTTGTAATAATTTTCGTCGAAACTTCAAAAATATAAATTATGCGTGTCATTAATACTTAATATTATTATAAAATATATTTACCATATTTAATTTAATTTAAAATTGTTTCTTAGTATAGGCATTTATAAAGGGATTTAAAATATATTATGTATATATTTTGAATTGTACTTCAATTTCTAAACCAATCACATACGATAAACAAATAAAATTAATAAATAATGTATACAAGTTTTTTATTTGTTTAGAATATAGAGAACCGGGCTATCTTTAATTCCATTTTTTCATGTCATGTGTTGAGTACCTATCCTAAACATTTTGGAAATAAGAAATCCGGCTTTTGCAATTTTATGATGTTAAATTTACAAGTAGATTGTAGGTATATATTTTATATACAAAATTAATTTTTTATCCAATTTGTCGGGTTCATAATATTTTATTTCAAAATTAATAAATGTTTTTAAACTACAATTTATTTTTAAATTGAAATGTATAGGTAAAACGGTTTAATGGTATTGGGTTACTATGATCTACTAAATTATTTTTAGAGTACTTATATGTGGTTGTCTGTATACATTTGTACCAGTAAATACTAAATATTTCTAAATATTTTAATTTATTTAAAACCATATACGTTCCCTATACTCATACCCTATAAGACATAAAAATAATTAGAATGAAACAAAACATAATAGATAGATTTTTTTCTAGTTACTATACAATTTTCTCAAATATAATACGTAAGAGTACCTAACGTTTTCTCCGAATTGTATTTTTATATTTTTATAATATATTCATAACATCATTATTCATATACAATGGTTTAAAGTGAGTAAAAGTTATTCATAAATTATAAATACTTGATAACAAACTATTACCAACTCGTTTCGCGTTGTGATAAATTAATTCCTCCCAACTCGAGTATCACAAAAATTAAAATATAATAACCGTTTTGTTAGGAATGCGTACACATCAATTATTTTAATATAAGTATTAAACATTGCATACTAACGAACGACTTTGAGTAAGTTCCCAATAATTACCGAATCAGTGTCCGGCCAGTTTACAGGTTGGTAACATATAAGCGATTCATGGACACTTCCCTGCAAGACAAATGTCTCCGTTCAATACGTTTCCCCGTCCATATTATATTATTTATATATAATGAATTTAAAAAAATGTAATTTATAATTTATTGATCACGTAAATATAACTTTATTAGCTGCGTCTCATCCTACCATATGGTGACTTATCGTGGGTCTTAAAAAAGAACAACGGTTAACTGAATTAAAAGTTAACCAATCATCGCTGGACAAGAACCTACAGCAAAAAAAGAAAAATATCGCGATGTTGCTAGACGTATACAAAATATTGTATCTACATATGACGAACGTGATCTGGATGAGTACTTAATTGGAATCGCTCAAAATGTATAGCTACAAAATCAATTAAAACAACGGTAATTTTTATAATTTTTTTAATTAATTTTATCTATTATTACTATTTCAGCACGACAATTATAATTATTTATAATAAATAGGTACAGAGATAATAAAACGACAATGTATATTATGTTATATTTACGTGATCAATAAATTATGAATTACATTTCTTTAAATTTATTATGTATAAATAATATAATACGGACAGGGAAATATATTGGACGTGGAAATATCTTACGGGGAAGTGGCTACGGGGAAATGTCTGACGGGGAAATGGCAGACAGGGAAGTGACCCGATACCCATACAAGTTGGTTCCGATGAGCTTTCATGATGATAATGACACTATTTTAAATTAATAAGACTAAATTTACAACGAATTGTAAAGCGTCAATAAAACAGTTTAAAGCAACTTTTAAAAGTTTTATCAAAAAAACACTTTTTTATAATTTTAATGAAAATTCTAAATCACGTAGACAAGTAAATAGTGCATAATGTTTTGCTCAGTACTTTATAAATATTTTATAACTTTCCCTATAACTTTTTATTAAATTTAAATTATTCAAGACAACATGAAGTTCTAGTAATGTATTAAGTAATTTAGGTAACTTAACTTACTGATCATCTTGGATGAATCTATTATCTTACTCGAAATCATCATGAGCTATTGAAGCTGTCGAATATCACCATACTAATCATTCTTGAAAATTAATTTTGAAGGCCGATTAAGATTTTCTTAACTAATATATTTTTTCATGATTGCGTTCGATGCAAATTTCCTAAGTATTATTTTAACCATGATTTAAAATTTATTTTTTTGCAATTTCATTGTTAACTGATATTTACAGATTTTCTTTTTAGTCTATTTTTAAAACCATTAATGACGTAGAGTTTTTGTTTTTATTTCACTTAGTATATTGCAGGTATTTAATGTTTTTCTAAAATGTCATGTTTTCTATAAAAACTAAAAATTCCGTGGGTACATTTTTTTTTAAATACAATTTTGTGAATGAATTAAATAAAAGTGTATTTAATAGAAACTAGAAATTAAAAATAACGACAATGTACAAATTATCTAATTGCAGTTAAACTGTTATAATATAATTAATTGACATGTATAAACAACAAATTTGAAAAATATATATTTTTTTTAATCACTTTATTATAATAATTTTTAAATTTTTAAGTTTTACTTATTTAAATTTCAACACATATTTTTAACTAATCCAAATCATGATATTTTTAAACAGAGATGCTGATGCATTCTCTGAAAAAATGTTGCCTAAACGAACCAAAATAAGTGATTTAATAGTAAGTCTAGATAATTTTGGAAGAAACTGAAATAAAAAAATAAAATTTGTTTGAAGAATGGTAAACAAATGAGACGAAGCTATGTAACGAAAAAAATCTTGTTGTTAAGGACTTATCGGTTATCAATAACTGAATAAATTTGTTCCGATTTAGAGTTATACAGTTTCGCTCTAAATAATATTAAATTTCTAGTGTCGGACTACAAAAGTAGCTTAGAATATGGATTTCTTTTAAATAAAATTATACAATCGAGATAGTACATTTGTACATTTTAAAACAAATTTAAAACAAAAAAATGTTTTGTTATAACAATAAATTTACTACAACTCATATTCGATAATTTTTAGATGCAATGTCAATATATGTTCAGAATCAGTAAAAAAAAAATATTTGGCATCTATAACAACAAGTTGCTTGAAACCCAAAAATCATTACTGTCCAGACTTCTAGAGGTACTTATATCATATTCAGACATTTCTAAAAGATCACGATGAACATTACACAAATAGAATACATTGAATATTAAGTTACATAATATAGTTCAGTACGCGAGTACTTTTAAATCTATTTATGTTTGTAAGTAATTTTGAGCAATAGACAAAACCATTGCACACTGCACAGTATAACTACCCTAGTATAGAACAGTCTAAACGGTTGAAAAAAAAAATTAAACTGTCTTACTATCGTCAAGCCAACCCAACAGTTGTAATTATTTGTATAAAAAAAATTAAATGTAATTTAATACAACAATTCCAACGGTAACTACAGTACAATTTATTTTAACCATAGGTGATGACGTGTCAGTACAACATATTTTAAGCTAATAGCTATTTATTTATTTTTTTTTTGTTTAAAAAAAAAAAACTATGCACACCAGCTTTTTGCTTTAGTCTTAATTGAAGGTCATTTTAAAAAAAAATATTTTTTTTATATAGACCATTTTGCTGGTAAATTTGTAATTATAAAATTAATTAAAATATTTATATTTTTACATTTTTTGAAGTTTTTTTCAAATAAAACATGATAATAATATGTAACTTTACTAGTTATAAATTAATTGAATTAATTTATGACATATACCGTCATGTCGGTACAAAACATCACACTTTAAATTATTCTAATATACCTAAAAGGTAATTTTTAAAGATATAAGCACTCATTTTCATATTTTCTCTTTAAGTAGGTATTAACATTGTTGTTAATAATTTTATTTTACATCATTTTAAGCTATTACAAAATAAAATTATTGACAACATATTCATCAGAATATTATTCCTAAAATTTCAATATATAAAAATCCAATTTTATAACTAATTAATTATGAATTGATTGTTTAATGTTTAGATAATTGAATCAGTGAACCTGCATTTGGAAAGGTGCAATCTACTTAACTCATCTAAAGTTTAAGATAATACCTTATGAGTAATTAAAAAGGTACTCGTTTGAATTGTATGTACCTATTACATTTTCAGAGGAATAGGTATTCAGGCTTGGAACAAAAATTCAAGAAAGAATGGTATTCAAAAAAATAAAAACTTCAAAACTTCAAAAATGTTAATTTTTTATGTTAATTAATAATTTATATAAAAAAATATTTCCAAAAACATTTATGTTTTGAAAAATAAACTTTTTGTCTATAGTAACACAATCACAAAGGTAGTAAGGATAGTAATTCTGTTACTAAATATTAGTAAATACAAAATTAAATTAATTCAAGTTATTATGTTTATGCGTCTTGCAAAGAAATACTTTTCAACCAAAATGGTTCATAATTATTAAGTATTATCAATAAGTTTACGTTTATAATATGAACAACAGCATTATAATACTCATATTACCTAATGAGTCTAATCAGTAGGCATAGGTATGTCTGTAGATATCTGTATTAAATGTTTTGATCGAATATGAACAAATTTCATATTTGTCAAACAATAATTATTTCCAAAACTAATTAAGTTAATTGAATATTTCAATCCCCGTTTGAAGATGTCGAAAATATAGTTTTGTATAATATTTCCTGATTTATCTACTTAATTTACCAATGAGGAAATTTAATAAATTATTATATGTTGTCACGAAAAAATTGACATAATATTATAAACGTTATTATTTGATTTATATTTTATTTGTTATTAAAAAATATCGTTTGAAAAAATGTCCCTTACAATAATTGTGGATGTATATTTACATATTTAATGTATCCAGTTTTAATGCATTTATTTATGAGTATTAGGTAAGTATAACTGGAAATATTTTTTTTCTTAAAATTATAATCTACGCAAAAACAGAGCTCAAGCATTAACCACGAAAAACGAGTGGTTATTCTAAAAATGTGGTTTCATAGTCAAGAAAATTCACTAAAAACACTATGAAAAAAAAAATCCATCGATGTTTATTATCACTAGTCCTGTAATAACTACAGATCATGAAATCTAACGGTCTGTAAGTTTTTCTAATACAAAAAAGTTTTTCTGCGAATACAGTTTTTATAGTAAATTGCATGTAACTCGTTAATAGGCCGAATTAGTTACTGTTGCCGCAACAGTAACTTAATCGATATTTTAGAACATGTTTATGTTTTTTTTTTCGACTATAATTCGCTGAACGACCAATGGAAGGCAGTATGTATTTAAACCAGTTGATTATTTTAACTGTAAATATGAAGTATCTTGAAAAGTAATAACGTTTATGAACATCCTACAAAATTCTAAAATATAATAAACTATACAATTTCATTTTATTTTTGAACGAAACTCATGATTACCAACGAAACGATTAAATTAACAAGTATATAAATAGCAACCTAACTTACTCTTCACCCTATGCATCACTTACACATGTGTTGAAAATATAACATACATTTAATAATTGTTTAACGACAAAAGGTCTGCATAACACATTCGTTTCAATCACTCGAGTACATAATTATAATATCGATTATATAGATAGCGAAAATCGGTGGTACTACTGATTCACTGCGCTCTTATTCGAGTCAGTAATATTTTAAACCTATCCGACCCTCAACGATCCCATAAACAAATTAAAAACACTATGTAATGAATTTATTGTTCTAAATAAGTGTGGTTTATGGTCATTATGAACCTCAACAATAATATTAAAACAGCTTAACGTGGTTATAGTGAAGAGTTTATACTCTGATAAACGGTGGGCTTTTGTAGCATAATCTCTAGAGAAGATATTCAGACAGGAGACATATGTCTGACCACCAATCAACTCCTGTCGAGCCCGGCTATTATTGAGAAAGTTTAATGCTGAAACGTGGAGAATTGACATGGACTAGTTCTCTATATTATGCCATCAATAGTTGGTTAAACTGTTTTCAAAAACTGATTAAATCTGTGTTTTTGAAAAAAAAAAAACAAAAATTGTTAAGAAACGGTCGTATTGCAGTAATGTTTTGAAGTTATTGAAACAATTTAATTTATATCAAATAAGCATATATTTACCAGAGAAAAATATTTCATGATCAAAAACAACAGCCTTAAAAGTTACAACTATCATGCGACAACATGTGTGTTTTGTTGATGTTTTAAATGCCTGCATGCATTAAAAATAATAACCATGCTAAATTTCTAATAAATAACGCGTGGTGCTACACCAAACTAATATGTATTTTAAGTTAAAATCACATGCCATCCCAGAACTTCCGATGCACACTTACCCGGTCACAACGTTCTGATTTTTGTTGGCTGAAAACCGGCCACCCAAACGTCTGAACAGATGCGGTTCCGCCGATGACCCATTCCTCCGACCGTCCACAAAACTGTCATCCAACAGAAATCTGGCTTTTTTCCGCAATAACTGGAAAAAAAATACAATCGTCATGCACCACACGTTCTTACAACGATTCGAAAGTCTTGTAAATAACAAAATACCCAACACAGACCGGTCAAATACGATTTGGCAGTTACCACTCATATTTTTCAAGCCACTTTTTAAGCGATAAACTATCGAGAAAACTTGATTTATGTTCATTATTACATACACCATCACATTGCCAAACTTATTTTTTTCGTTATAATTATATTGAAACAATAAAATTGTGAGATAAGTGATCATAACCAATTCTTAAAATATTGATAGAGGAATTCATGAAGTGTTTTTCATGATTAATTAATTTTTATTTCTGTTCCCTATTAACCCCCATACTAAGTTTAAAAAAAAATTATAGAAATTTAACTCGTTTAACAGATTTTACTGCAAAATATGTGGTTTTTAACTAAAAGCTATACAAAATTTCACATTTTTAAGTTTTTGGTGTCTGGATAAATGTATCAGTATGCCAATACCTCGCATTGAGCTTTCGTAAATTCACGGTTTGAATCTAAGTGGTTTCGATCTAAGTGATCGTTTGTTAAAGCTAATTTTTCATGGGAATTATTCAATGCGAATAGGTTCAAATAGAATTTAAACGATCCCACAGAATTTTTTTTATAACAACTCAATGTGGAGATGACGGGTAATAAGGTTCTTTTTTGGACCATGCAGAACCGTCATTATCATGGTGTTTATCTATAGAATAGGCTCGGCATGTCTTTGTGAGAGTAGTAAAAGATCATTAGTGTGTGTACCACACTACCACCCAACGATAAGTGATAACACTCATAAAATACATAAACGCGTGTACACACGCCCATGCACTTGTAATTTTCAACGGCAGATCAAAATACTCAAAAACGAATTTATGACCGTGAAGTTACTATATGGCTGACAAACGTATAGTTTTTCCAGTAGCTCGGCTTTATATACGAAAATATGTTGGAGTTCATAATAAACAAGTCTCATTTGAGCATTCGAACGGAGTACCTTTTTAATATTAGAAAATTCTTTGTGTTAATGAAACTTTATAAATAGGTACTTTCATAAATTTGTCAATTTTCGTCAGTAAATAAAGATTTATTATTTATATTTTAAATATGTTTCTACCAATGAAAAAAAACTTTACAATTTCAAAATCAAACATGTGCAGAAAGTATTAAAATGCTTGTAAGGTGCTTGGAATAGCTTAAAGTTAAATTTAATGATACATGTAGGGGGTTCGCTGCAGATATGGATCTAAAGTTCTTTATTGTTATCCATTCCGTGATAAGCTTTGGAATCAAATATATACGAACATTGACAATTGAAACGAATAAAACATCATAAACACCTCGTAGACTAGCCTCATATATTCTTAGTGCCGATAAACCTTACATTTTTAACGTCTATCTAACATATACCTATAGATACCTCGTATCTATATAAAAAACACACTTCCGTCTTATACTCATAAATTGAGTCGTATCATTAAAAAACCAATGAACGGTTATTTTTTTCCTACTGAGCTGTATAATAATCTTATTAAATAATCTTATTAAATAATCTTATTCTGTAGATACTATTTATGATCAAGACGAAATTATGCATACAACTTGGGCCTGCGAAAAAAAAAATAGGAAGTACTTTTACAGATAGGTAATGATATAAAATTTAAGTATAATTTATAAAGATTATAATATTTCATCATGTTCTATTACAAAAGAAAAAATACCACTGATAGTATTTTTATGTAATTTACTATTAATTATGTATCTACAAAGTAAGGTTTATTCAAAAATAATTATTCAACAAAGTTAATTAAAATGAAATCGATTTTGTCAAAAACTGGCGTTATGCTATGATTTGGCCAGCTGTTTTTTGTTAGTTTTTCTCAATTATTAGGAAAATTGCTGTTTATTCTTTCAAAGCATATACTAGATCAAATTTTTCATCAAAAATTGCATACAGCGTTGAAATTTGAAGCTAATTTTCTGCTTTAAAAACACGTGTCGTCAGATAAACTTATAAATTATATTTTTTTTTAACACTACGGGTTAAATTGTTATTAAATCAATATATTTTTTGCTCCGTCAAGAATTTAAAATTGTTTGTATATAATGTTTAAAGTTGTCTAAAACTATTTTATGCAACTGATAGCGATGATAATAATAATAACTAAATTTGAGCTCATGAAGTATTAAATGTCTTTGTTTGTTTAACTTCTTAAACCTTAAATTTTGATAAAAAAAACTTTGATACAATATTAGTATAAAAATTAAAAAGTAAGAGAGTATTTTTTTTTTAAATATTTCAATCGACGACTTTCCTAAATTATAATAATACCACTTTAAAATGTGAATTTATATAATATTAAAGTGTCAAAATTAAATTTCATGAAAAAAAAAACGGGAACCTATTTGAGTAAAAACAAAAGCAAAGATGAAAATGAATTATGATGCATAAATGTTTTTAAAGTTGTATTTGTTTGTGCACAAGGCAGGTGATATATAAAGTGTAAGCTTTAAATACATTTTTATGAATTAAGGTAGTGCCTACACGTTTTTAAGAGTATTTGATTTGGTTTCTGTATAACTCAGCATCATCAAATTAATATAGCTTTGATTTATTTGGATTTTTTTATTAATTATTTTTCTCGTATAAATATTATGCTAGTTATCAAATAGTTAACAATTTTATGGATCCATGCTGGCATTTAATGATTACAAAAATAAGTGCTTTGTGTTTACTTTTAAACCAACCAAAAATTATGGACTGAGTTGAATTCAATTGAAAACGGTTGTAATATGTAATGCACAGTGCAGGACATTTTCAAAAGTATTGGTGAAATGATCCAAATCAGGATGACGACAGGAAAGACACTTTTACTACTTTTTAAATGATGATACTGAGTTTATCCATTTTGAATAGTCGTAAAAAATATATAGATACGTTGTTTATTCATACCTCATTCTTACAACACATCTCAGGTATAGTTCTAGTATACATTGATAATAATATGTTTTGTATGTTTTGTGTGCATTTTAAATCTCAGTTACGGTTTATAAACGCACTTCGTAATAACAATAAATCAATGTACACAAAAAAAGTGATATTGTCATATACTGATTTTGCAATAGATAGGTATTTTCAATTAAATGGATAAATTGACACAGAAAAAAAAGTATGAAAAAAAGAATAATAACCTAACCTCAGCTTTTATTTCAGCCTTATAAAATGTCCCACGATAACACTTTAACTATATTTACAAATGATTACAAGATATGATATTACATAATTTGACATTAATTATTATATATTTAGAGTAAGTGGTGGGGCCAAGGTAACTCACCTTATAATAAAAACAGTTATGTAGGATGATATTGATATTAAGCAACTTTTCCAATATTGGCGCAGTTAAATCGATATTCTTTATTGACATCAATGTCGATATAAATGCAGTATAAATTTATATTTTTACATGCAAAAAATTAAATGATTCTATTAGATATCATCAATGTATTTAATAGTAAATATAAGTAGCAAAATATCATTCATATTATTTTTATTTGGTATTTATTTCTATAAATTATATATACATTTTATTTATGATATTTTGCTACTTATATTTACTATTAAATACATTGATATGTATAAAGTTTAAAAACGTTGTCGTGTTTTTTTCTTATTGTTTTTTTTTATTTATTAAAAAATTCGCCTCAACTACCAGGGCTATTGGCTTTTCCAAAGAAACATATAACATTTTTTAATTTTTAAAATATATTACTACTAAAGATGTATACAAATTATCTTAAATTAATACATTAAGATTTTAGCTATTGAAAATACATGTGATATAATAAAAGTGTTTTTGTTATATTTTTTGAAATAGGTTCGTCTCTTTGAGTATTTCCAGAAGAATCGATGTTCTCTCTGTGTTGGGTAAAAGTATTTCCTATGTATAGTAGTGGAGCATTCGTTTGTCTCTATAGTCTTTTGTCAGGAGTCATTTTGTTTATAAGTGTTAACCAGTAGTTGCGGTGGTACATGAGGCGCATTTAAGTTGTTCCTTTTTGTTCATTAGATAACCATGGGTGTATAAGCCATAAGGTGTGACCAATTCTAAATCTGTTGATTATGGATTGATGTTAGCGCTGGAGAGACACGTCGTGTACCCATGGGAGAGAGGCTGATTTAATTTCTCTCGGTTTGTTGGTTTTTATTGGTCTCTATTCTTGTTGGCATCTTTGGCTTAGGTTTATATTTAATATAGGAGTTTTGTGTCAAAGTGAAATGTTGGATACAAAAATCAGCTTTGGGTTCTTTGGTTGGATTTTTGGCTATATCGTCTGCTATTTATTTTCTTATTGCGCTTGTATTAAGTAAATAATATAAATAAAATTATAAAGGGAAAAAAAATTGTGGATGAATCCATTTTCGGTATTAAGATGCTGGTATTCGAATTCAATATCGATATAGATACATGAAACAATATCGATACCTACTAATAAAATATAATACCTCAACAGTAAAAAATACATTTTAGTTAAATATTCAACGAATAAGTTGAACTAAATATACCTACATGTAATTAATGTTTATAATGCAATTATTAGTTTTTTATTTATTCCCAACCTTTTCGACCTCTTTTATGTTTGTATTTGGTTGGCTGTATTGGGAACTATTGTCATTAGATTCCCGTGATAAATATTGTAAAGTATTATTATAATTTTAAGCACAATAAGAATAATTAAACCTTATATAATATGCTTTATGAACCTGGTGCTGACTGTCGATTAGTTTACCAGTGATCAATGATCACGTGGCAACAGAAGTTATTCAGAAAAAATATCTTTCGTGTTATTATGTAAATACGCTTATTAGTTCAACGGTATGGTTATTGCTATAATTATGCGAATTTTCAAAAAAGCATTTTGTATGTGTTAATGTATTATAAGAATTTCTCACTTGTTTGGTTTGAAAATTTTAAAGGCTTATCGATAATTCTCTTTCTAAATAGTAAGTATTAATTTATAATTTAAACTGTATTGAATGATGTAGACCTCCAACGTTTAGACGGCGAATGCTCAAAACGTGCATGAATTAGCGGTATTAAATAATAAATAGTATTAAAATATTAATCTTTTTTTAATATCTCTATTATACACAAATAATTATATTATATATATATATATAATATCAAATTATAATTTTAAATATAACTTGATGTTCAGGAATATTTGAGATGTATTTATAATTTTGATAATAATTTATTTTCATTTATATCACTTAAATCATTAATCATAGTTTAAATGTTATGTATATTAATGTATAATATATAAATTATAAAGAATAATTTATAAAAAAAACAAAAATAATTGGCTTTAATTATGTAAGACGTAAGTATTAACATAATTTTTTCAATATAATTGCATTATTGCTCAATAAGCTAGCTAACTTTCCTCGCTTCTCTCAAAAGCTTTAGAAGACTTAATTGAAAAGCTGGCCAATAATAGACCTCTACTGTTATCACATAATGATCAGATATTAGAGAATATATTATTTATATTAAAGTTTGTCGTTATTTAATTATAACAATATTACAGTTATTCAATAATTGTTTGAAAATTAAGAAATAAAACACTATTGATACTGCATCCTAAAATAAATGTTTCAAATGGCATAACCCTCATTCTACATTTTATTACCTACCTAATGTTTATATTTCTGTTGTTTATTCGTCTATATATAATTGAATTTCTCCTTTTCATTTTATGTATTTTGTATTGTCTGTAATTTGCAGTATACATACCTAATAATTCCACTATATATGGCACCACACACGAATGTATTGTATTAATGTAATTTTAACGATGTTTTAGAATAACTAAACAAATAGTGCAACAAAAACCACGGTTTAGTTGTTCAAAACTGAGAAGAAGGTAAATAGAATGTATACCAAATACACTTCACAGATATGGGCACTAAAAATTCATATTCAGACCAAACATTGGAGTACTACCAAATCGCATAACAATTTAAAGAATAGCTTATAAGTTATAATATAACTATTATTATTTTTTAAATATTGTTTAATATTTTTTGTATTAGACTCCCATAGTTTAAATTTAATTTACTCCATTATCACGGAATATACTGCATGTGTTAAAAGTTTTAAATAAGTAATTCTAACAGTTATATTGAAATAACAATTTCGTATTTGGTATTTATAAATGGACTGCTTTTGTCATAATTTTGTTTTTCTATTATGTTGATTTGAATTTTTTTTTTAAATATGTTCAACAAACAAAAAGTAGTAGTCCGATTGGCTATTATAATTTAGATTAAGAATATTTTAAAATATAATTCAATTTGAGTTTAAAAAAATACCAAAATCTAATAAAGATTTTATTTAAAATATTTAAGAAAATAAAGATAGGTAATAGGTATGTTATTAATATTACAATACAGTGAGTTCCGTTTACTGTGATCACTGGTTTATAGAATCAACCGTTTATTAGAATCAAAAATTAAAATCCCAAACCAAATTGTATGTTACTAAAAAACCTAATGTAATTGACCTTTATTTATTAGAATCACTAAGTACCGGATAGTTGAATCACTTTTATGAACAATCTTAACGTTTTTATGGTATTTCAAACTGATTAATTTATAAACCCAATTTTATTTTTGAACTTATTAGTATGACAGTACATCGTTGTACGTTATTATGTTATTCAGTTATCTTTGTGCGTTGTGTACTTGTGTCATTTATTATGTATGTTACATTAAATATGTAATTATAAATAAATATGTTATTGTATAAAAAGATTGAATCATGAAATAAATGTTGTAAATGTTTTATAGAATCAACCGGTTAATAGAATCAAAATGACCTGCACCAAAGTGATCACATTAAACCGAACCAACTGCACATTGTGATAGCGAAAAAAATAACTAAAAATTAGGTACATACAAATAAAGTAATACATTAATTCATAGTATGAGAGAACAAAATACAAGAATGTAATATAAAATATATTTGTGATTTGTCAAGCTAAAAGTCTCTAGTCCGATTAGAAAAAAAAAGTAAATATACCTTCCTGCTATTTTGATTTTGACTTAAGCATATTAGATAGAGTTAAACGATTACAAACAATTATACACAATTAAATTATCTAAATTATTTTATTTTTGAATGACTTATTATTTAACAAACTAAATAACTTAAACGTACAATTATGTTGTCAGATTTCCTGGGTTTAATTACTTCTTGTGCACGATATTAGTTTAATATTTTATTATTTCGTAAAGTTCCTATAAATAGTATAAACGTATATTAAAGAGTTGGACTAAGTAATCTACAAATCAGCCCATCACCATTTATTGTGCACTCAAACTTTTTATTCAATTGATTGATATATCTACTTTTTGATATAATAAATCTTTCAAATCCCAAAACTATTTTGTTTAAAACAAAAGTCTAATGAATACAAACTTTTCTAATTTTCATATACATATACAAACAAGTTTATACAAATTTAACGTTTATTCAGCAACATAACGGACAATTTGGGATACGTAATGAAATATATTATTAAAGTGAAACTCTCAGGCTTCTTTCAAGCATTCATTTATCATTTTGCGTTTCCGACAATTCTCGTACGGGAAAAAAAGTACATAAATGGTTTCTGTTGGTGTAGTATTTGACCATGTAATTTAAAAAGTTCACGTGACTTTTATGCATACAACGATCGTTTCCAATACAAAATGTATTTATAAAAACATGTGTAAAATATAATATTATGTAATATCAGACTAAAAATCCCCAATTAAAAAACATCAAACTCAAAACTTATAACTCAAAACTCACCTGAACAGTAAGGGCATACGTGACCACCATAATGATCATCGGTATGTAAAACGCGACCAGCGAACCAAAGACGAAAAAAGCTCGGTTGTTGATTACGCAAACCCCTGGATCCGGCATAATGTTCTTAGCATTGGATAGACCTGTAAAAGATAATAATATGTAATACAATATTCAAGTCACAATGTACGTTATGGACTTTCAATCCTTTTTTTCTATTACCTACTTAATACGAAAGAAAAATACCTATATCTTAATATTCATAGTTTGAACAATAACATTTTAAAAATAGCATTTACGACAACACATATGACTATATATGGTTGTCACATGCGAGGTGTAATCGTTGAGCTTATCGATTGATTTTAATACTTTGAACATTATTAGGAAGAGTTTGGAGGAACTTAATTGTACATTGAGTAAAAAGATTTAAATATGAATCAATATTTTATCATTTGGTTTAAACATAGATAATAATTATCAAATATGTTATTTTTAATCATGCCTATATTAGGAACTTTCTTTATAAGTATCAACAATAATAAGCAAATACCATTATTACAACATTTGTAAATAAGTGAATCAGCCAATGTTTGTATACAAATAAAATTAATATCATGTAGTTTTCAGATGTGGGTAATACTAAAAGTATTTTCAGATGAACATCAAAGCATACACATAAAAAATGTAAAAATGATTTTAAAAGCTGCAGAATATACAGGGAACAGTAAATTACAATAGATTGGTAGTTTCTGAAGTACTACGACTAAGAATAATTCAAATATTTAAGTCTGAAATAAGCCTTGTGATAATACAAAACAAAATATTTATCACTATAGTCACAATTCAAAAATAATACTATAAACTTTCAAATAAAATAAAATAACTATATTATTTTAAAATAGTTGTTAAAATATGAATATTATTGTTTCAAACAAAATATTTTTTTTATGTTTGATAGAATATTTAAGATAATAGTTTTAAAATAAATCCAAAGTTATTTGCGTTACGGTTAAGGTGGATACATATAATGATGGTAAAAAGGGCAGATTTCGGGTCACTTTAAAATTTTGTTTTTACAATTTCCCTGAATGAATTGTTCTTACATTTTGATGAGAAATTTTAATGTACAAACTTTTTATATGTTGGTATAGAGAAAACAGTACTTTTTTATGATTAAAATATGAACTAATAAGTAATAATTTTCCATTAATTGCTAAACAAATTTAACCTTTTTTTCAAATGTGGGGATACCTTACTGTTAAACGTTTTTATGTTAATCTTTATAATTTTTATACTATTTAGTTAAAAAATATTAAAAATATAACTCATTGAAGTATAACTTCTGGCGTACACAAAAAAGCGACACGTCTTTGCGTTTTCCTTTAAAAATTGATCAAAATTTTCCGATTGTGACACACTCAATAAAGTATATAACCACTGTTCGTATCCGATCGATTGATGGCCATCCCTTTTTCTTTTCATTCCTGGATCCACGCTCGTCACGGATTCCCACTCACTCACTCGGGCGCACACCGACACACATTATTTCCGGAGAAAAAAACACATCGAGTCGAACACCCCTCGAGGCCTCGAAGCAACAACTTGTTGTTAACTCACGTTTCACACGGACGCACGCCCGAGAGACGGATTCGATGTGATGAGATTGTTTTTTTTCTTTTCCACTACCAAGTCACTGTCATACTTCAGCCACACACACTCCAACAAAATAATATATATGATGATATAAATCCAATAAATGACTGGTAGTGGTGGTGGTGGTGGGTGTTGAGGATAGTGCTAAGCGCGTGTTCGAGGGGTCGAATGAATAAGTACCTACTCATTTAATAATAATAGTCTTTCAATAATAATAATTTACCTGCTCTAGTCACATTGCACACGATCATAGAACCGAATATTATTTGAGGTTTACCGAAAAAGGCAAACCGTAAAAACTCAGAAACGACACAAGACGGTATAGTTAAACTATACAGTCTAGTACAATATTATTATAATACGTCGAACGAACGAAAACATGTTGGTTTCCATAATGTTATCATAATATCACGACGTGTTATAATAATATAGGTTCTCTTATATCGTACGATTACGCAAAATGTGTGTGTTCGAGAGAAGAAGGATTTTCCGTGCAGCTCCCGAGTCCACCGCCGTCGTTGCACCTTTGACTGGCCCGCCCCTATATATTATTATACCCGTAGTGCCCATCCCGTTCCATTCCCCACCCCCAACCTTGTAGCTCGTCGACGCACGTTCATAATTTATTATTCAAGGCGGACCGTGAGAAAAAGACAGATGCTCGTTTGTTGTCTTTATAACCAGCTCGCCCGGTATACGCGTAGTTATATTACATTATATACCTACCTACTACTAGGCTATATAAGTATAATGTACGTTGAGAGAGAGGGAGAGAGAGAGAGAAAGAGAGAGAGAGAGAGGGAGAGAAAAAGAGAAAGAAAGAGAGAAAGAATAAGAAAGAGGAGAGGTAAAAGGGACTATACGCGAATGTGTATTGTATTTATGTGTATGAGTGTGAGTGGCGTGGAAATATTATTACGAAAGCGGCGCAGGGACGGAGAAGACTTACCGTAACGTACGTCATTGTATGTACGCGAGACTTGAAATAATTCGCAGGGTCGTATATATTTTTCTGATAAGACGAATGCACCAGCGAGTGAGGGCTGGGACCTGATGACATACATTTAACCATTAGAGACGAGCGTTATTTGTTTTTATTCCCTTGACGCTTCGATGCCGCTAGACAGCAATCGTCTACTCGGCTAATTAACCACACGACACTCAAAACTTCTGATATCTATTACTATAATAGTGCATAGTGTTTCATACTTTTATTCGCGATGATAATCCGTCCAACCGTTTGATGACCATTTATATCTGGTTGATTTTTATCTTATTATCTTACAGTTTTTTTTTTCTAATAGATACCTACCTTAATTTCAAATTAATTACAATGTACACGCATAATACATTTTCACAAATAATTTGTTTTGATTCATTTTTTTTAATTCTATTCAGCATTTTGTTATTGAATAATTATGAATGGTTTATTCGATATTGAATAAAATGGATAAACATGTCAACGATTTAAAACCGTATAAAATAAGTGTAAATATTTTAATTAAATCGCAAGAAATAAAATAAAAGATTTCACCAAAACTAGATACAAACTGTAACATCGTGTGTCGTTTGAAACGAATGGTTATTATGTAGGATATTATGTAGGATATTATTTATTATTGTTTTTTATAATTAAATTTTTAATCATTTTTGTAATTGACCTACCTGATAATATATAATATATGTATAGTGCATACAGTACAGTATATATCTATGTACTTAAATATTTTTTATTTTAAACTATAATTTCCGCAAGCAATGTAACAACAACAATACATCCTTCTCAAAATTAAATTGTTTCAATATCCATCATATTTAAAATACATGTTGTGGAAACGAGGACTTTAATATTAAATTTAATTTAAAGGTGCGTTAGATACAACTTTGTTAAAAAAAAGAAATACTTCGATTCAAAATATAAATTATTCATGTCACTTACTCACTCGATAGGCTATAGTGTAATCAAACAAAAATCAGTAAATCTTTCATAGTGAAACTCAAATAATTCGTTAAAAATAAAAATTTAGTCTAGCACGTGGTGTATACCTACGTATTTATAATGTTTAGGAGAGGTGAGTAAAATATTGCACATTCATGTTTTATTCTCTAGAGTCTAGACTGTATTTAATTATGCATAGTTTGTTTAATGTAATTATATAATAGACGGAAGATATCTGAAAATAACTGATGTGTATGTATTTATAAGATCAGACTTGGATGGCTATTAATTGAATTATTTATTACTGTAAACAAAAACGAGACGATATTGAACGAAACTCTAAACAGTCTCGAGTCAGTTAAAATAAGATCTTAAGTAGGTAGGTACATAAAATTGAGTGTTATCTATTTTTAGTGAATCAATAGTACACGTCTTATACCTTCAAGTATATTTAAAATAACTCGAAATTTAAAATATTTTTTGGACTACCTTTTGATTAGATTTGATATTGTTACCTAGTTAGTACCTATGAGGATACACAAATATATTAGTTATGTTCTCAGATTTCATAGAACTTAAATGTATTGAAATAAATGCCATTAATATGACCTAAAAATAATAGATTTTTAAATTATTTTTATTTATTATGTTGTACTAAGAATTTAAGCGTTATTTATAATACATATTATATAACGATTTTTAATAAAATGAAAAACTAAAATTAACTTGAATGTGGGTGTTTTTTCATATTTATTCACATAAGTAAGTTATTATTTTACTATTTTTGTTATGATTAGTTACGAGATAAATCAAAAACACATAATTCACGAAATTTAATTCATAATGGCACAAAATTGCAAGAACACTTGAAAATAACACTAAAAATCTAAATTACTTAAAAATCAAAATTATAGAATATATTATTTTCTATTTGAAATTTTCTCAACACAAATCAAATTTATGGAACTGAGGTACCCTCAGCTATTTATATCTATATTTTTTAAGAATTAGCAAATTTTATAAAACCGTAGCTCAGATTATGAGTTATTCAAATTGTAACAGTTAATTAATTTTCTCAAAAACTATGTGTTAAAAAATTCAACAACGTGCTCATATTATTATTAGAATATATTATATAATAATAGGAAAGATATAGGTTATATTATTTTCAAAAGAAAAAAAAAATTCTAAAACACAGAAAACCCGTTTATTTAACTGAACCTAGCCACATTTGTTTTAAATAAAAAGTGAACCCAATCAGTAAAAAGGTTTACATAATATGATCTTGTTATTTTTACCTTTTAAGTTGAAATCGACGTGTATAAATGGTTATTTCATATGTAGAAATAAACGAACAAAACCTTTTATAATCAAACTTAATTCTTATATTTCATTTAAAGAGAGTGCACGGTATCACTGTATCAGTGAAAATATAATAATTTAGTGACAAAACGTAGGTATTTGTGAAATTGAGCTTGTATAATGAGTTTTAACATGCGATTATAGCACAAGCAGTACCTATATTTAATTTACTAAACAAATCTTTCAATCTATTTTGATTATAATTTAGGAATACAACGTGTTAGTTATGTTAGTAGGTAACCAGTGATGGATTTACTCTGATATTATATTCAATACGTTTGAAAACGTAAGTAAAACACACACACCTATGTACCATAACTCATACGCATTAAACGTGTATAAAATATAATTATATACAACAAAAACAAATGGATTGGATACCGAAAACACGAAGGTACGACGAAAGGTGTTTTATAATAATGTTTTTGAGTACATTACGAGGTGTAATTTTTTTGACTTACCAGGTAAAATATACGTGTACATACATCTATGGATACATTTTATATCGCTCAATTTGAACATAATTTTAAAATTAAATTTATCGTTAAGTGGTCTGTCCACTATAAAATAAAACTGCAGTATTTATAATCAATGGTGATACGTTATGGAATGTTATAAGCACTTACCGAGAAGTGTGACGGAAAACGATACCAAAAATGACAGAAACCAGACGATCGCGATTTTGAAACACACCAATTTCATGGTAGAATAGTGATGCCTGGTCCTGAGTGGATGTCTTATACCCAGGTATCTTCCCAGCGATATGCAACACATGTGCATAATGCTGGAACTGCAAGCCAGCACGTCGCACGTGACGTACACGTTGCACCAAGCTACGCCCAGAGGCCATTCACCTGAAAACACAGAACGCAAATAAATCATGTTATTATTGTCGTCGTCGTTGTTTGGCTGCGTTTTTCTCCAAACCAGTGCACTGCATGAACACACAAACTGCAGTAGTTTATCGTTTATTGGGGGAAAAAAATACATATACGTGATTTGTAAGCCGGAGGCATTTATATGATATTATGTATGGACATATGGTACTACTGCCTTGGTGGGGTCTGTGGACTACTACGCGCGATGTTAGAATTTCAAAGGGGGGAAGTCCATAATGACAATGCTCGATGCACCTGAACCCTTGACCACTTGCCTGACTATAACACCTTTACGCTAGAGTCTAGTGTCTAGACGAACGCCATTGAGCGAAATAAATACCTACGCGGAAATAAGACTCGTGATGACATATGTAGTTTGGGAAATGAAATCGTGTTTAAGTCGAGTATTTTTTTATCATAAGCAATTATAGGCACCCACTGCATATTTGGTCAATGGACATAATATAATAGTGATTCATATAATATTATTGCGTTAGACATTGACATATTATAAATTTAAATAGTACAAAGTTTATGTATTGACCTACGTTATATTTGGTCGATGAGTGTTAAACAAGTATTATAACTGGTACATGATATGTGATCTCATGATAGCTATATGATTTAAATTATACTTTATATATTATTTCAGTAACTACTAAGTTTCATTTTATTTTAATAGATAATACAATCTAAATAGGTTAATTTAATATTTATAATGAATAAGCCCAGTTCGTGGAGCGGTGATGTGATCCTTTCATGTTGTACTTTAATGTTTATGTTTTTGGAAACATTTTTTTATTTACATACATTTATATTGTATTAAAATATATTAAATTTTTCACTACCTAAGTATTTTTGTGGTTAAATATTTTTTTAAGTTATGAATTTTGACGAAATACATTTATATAATATAATATTCCGACATAACAATTTCTATAAAGTATGAGTATTATATACAATTCGAAATTTTTAAATTCATAAATCCACATTTAACCATCCATAAATATTCAAAATGTATATCAGTAGAATTCAGAACATTAAGTGCAAGCTCAATCCAGTCTATTGTGGTATAATTATATTTTATTTCATTATTATATTATGTATACTGTTACTATATTAGTCAATTTTATTATTAGTAATACTGTAGGCTTAACTATTTTTTTTCAAAACCATTTCATATATAATAATATTTTTATTTTATTTTTCTAATAGTAGGTAGATACCTACTATTAGAAAAAAAAATTACATACATTTATACATCTATACATTCATGTCATACATTAATGTTATTAAATTTTGAGTCATAACCGACCGTTGAACAGTTTGAATAGGTTCGAGATATAAATAATAAAAAACATAAAATGAAAATAAATGTCTTTAAAATATAATTGTATAGTATAATATAAAATATAATAGTTGTTGAAAAGTTTCAAAACCCCACTTACGAAATAGCTGAATTCAGCTGAAAAAAAAATAACTAAGATTGTTATTTTTCGTTTATATAACTAATTTCGTACAGGACTGAACTTAGAATGACTATTAAACAAATATGTATTTAGATTATTTGGTTTTCGATTGAACTGGGTATTTAATTTTCAAGCCTTAGGTATAAAAATTGAATACTTTATACATTTTTAAATACAAAATAGTTTGATCATTTTTGTGATCCTGATGAACTTTTTAAACATTTAAACATTAAATCACAACAATAACATAAAATATACGTAATAATATTAAAGGCTGGCAAACCGTCTTTCCCCCTCCCCCCCAATTATATTGAAAATCAGTGAGAATTGTTAGATTTCAATTACTTCTAGTACCAACTGATTCACTTTTCTAACCGTAAACATAAAACATTTCACATCAGTGTAAAATCAATACATTCATCGGGCCGTTCTGAATCTTAAACAGGGATTATGTGAAATGATTTTACTTCAAAAATAATATACACACATTTCAATTTATTAAATATGATTATTTTATTTTTAACTCCATTCCTTATCATTATATTTTTTTGAAGTCACACATGTGAATTTGTTTAAAAATAAAATTACAAGTAGGGAGGCGATTTGTTTTTTGTTGTTTAATTTATGATATCCATTTATAGTTATAGGAAAATATATTTTAAATACATATATCTCTGGTACATAGAAACGTAGGTTTTACACATCTTATTTTCATATTTGTTTAGGAACTGACCAAAAAGAACTACATAAAATCCGGGTACAGGTTTGGAGCTAAAAAGACTTGATTTGGTGGAGTTTATTGTTGGATTTCTGGTCCCATAGTATTTGGTATGCTTTTTTTCTCCTTTCCAAGGCGCATATGATTACGTCTTTAAGAGATGATAGTTCTATTTTTTTTATTATTATTATTGGTAGAGGTTTCCTTAGCTACTTCATCGGCTTTTTTGTTTCCGGATAAGTTTTTATGAGTGGGTATCCAAAAGAAGGTTACCGGTATAATTAAGAAGCTCTTTCTTGGATATTATTTATTATTTAATTTGTAGAACCATGGTTTTTTATAGCTTAAGAAATCACCGGCTATTAAAAATGACTCAGTGTTTTTCCAATACTGTTCAATTAATTCAAGCGCTGTTAAGATTGTGAGATCTTCAATAGTTAACATATAATTATATTCAAGTGAAAACAATTTGAATAATTCACCCGTCTAATATTATAGCTAATCCTAATTTTCCGTTGGATTTTGATATGTATAAATAATTTTGTGGTTATGGAAATCAGTCCTTATGGTATCGATGAATTTTTGGGGAATTTCATTTGTATCTGAGTTGTCTACTTGTTGGATCATTGAAATTTTGATGGGATGTTCCATTTTCCATGGAAGTTGTATGTAGGAAACTGGAGGTAGCAGTTTAGGTAATGGTGTATTTGGTATGTCAAGCCATCTTTTTAAGAGTGTAGATATTGCCATATTGGCGTAGTATTTTTTTGGAGATGAATTGAAAGGGGGAGTTGGTAAATAGGTATGTTGAGATTGCATTCTCCTTGTCTTCTATAGAAATTCTAATACTATTTTCCTGGAGGAACTTGCATATCTATTTTACTTTTTAGTTTCTTGTAGGAACTTATCATTCACAGTTCGGATCATCGGTTGTTATGCATATAATATTATTTTATCACAAAAACTGACTGTGAAGCGTTCCTATTTAAAAGTTTTAAAAATGTATAAACCTATACACGACCGAGTTCAAAATCGTACATTTTAATCTTAATAATTATTATCTAGCGAGCAAACCCAAATTGTCCCTGCGTATATAATACACAGCCAATATCTTATACTCGTTTCAATAATACAACAATGGCATTGTTATCGTCGTTGTTTACCGTACACTGAACATAACTATGTAAGATAATAATCATAATATGATGGCATACGCGTATAACGATATTATTATTATGTAAGTAAAAGTTTTTGATGTGTGATTGTGATTTAAATTTTTTCACCGCCGCTGTATGCGCATCCATCCGGTTAACGGAGATGACGATTTAAACTATTAGGATTACGCAGCAACTTCAAGAATTAATCACATTATTCATACAATTTAATCAATATTGATTATTAATATTATTAAAGTTCTACAAATTATAAACTATAGTGATTGAGCCTATACTTATGGTTAGTATCGTATAAACTTGGGTGACAAATAAATATTTTTCTCGAACTCTTTGAGTGAGTATTAAAGCACTATTTTTGAGAATTATATTTTACTAGAATACTAATATAATATTATGTTCTTTGATTATGATATTATTTGATTTTTAGTTAAATATTGTTTTTAATTTTATTACAGTCTTACAAAATTTAATTTTTTAAACACTGAAGAACAGTGAACAATTATTTAAAAAATAATATTTTAATTATATTATACAATAAATCAACAGTTGAAAATAACGACGATTTTGGCTTAGCTACAGAAATAAAAATTTATAATACTTGTCTATTTTGTTAAATGGACTTGCTAAGACGCTTCTTATTGCAACAACTACTAGTACCTGCCAATAGATTTATCTTTCTACTGTGACCTGCAGTATGGCAAAGGTTGGCAAGTTTCTCTACGATAACTAAACTTGAAAACCAAATATTGGGAACAAATAACCCTTGGATAATATAGTACTTTTGCTATTATACTATATGCAACCAAAGAGTATGTTTTATTATTAATTTAATTACATACAGACTATGTATGTAATACTAACTTAAATTATGTAGAACATACGATAGTGTTTTAATATACAAATCAAAAATAAATATTTAACAAGTGCAAACATAAAAACTCAGTACTCGAGAACCAAGGACTATAATATTACACTCACTACATAGTTTTGTGAGTTGGTAAAAAGGGAAAATCTTGCATGAGATGATGTATTGCAATTTAAATTCATGGGAAAGGAAAGGTACTTTGAAATTCACTATTTTTGGAATTAAAATTTAAAATCTTTCCTGAAATTGTAAGCATAGGACTTATCCCACCTGATTTTTCTGTATCTATTTATTATTTAGACATAATATTTTATAATTGATACATTGAACAAAAAAAAAATGATGATCATTGTGTTCATTACTAACTTTTTGTTCTATAAGATAATCTCAGAAATCAATTTTACAAATCGATAATATCATGTTAATGCAAGAAAACTATATCGTTGATTTTATCAAGTAGTTCAATGGTTTTAACCACAGATATATCATTGATTTTACCAAAGTCGCTAAGCCTACAACCACGACGGTTGCGAAGTGTTCAGTGTTATAAGTTATCACTTATTGATAAGATATAAACTATTTTACACATATAGAAATAATTCATTTACTCTATATGTTTACCAAATGCATTTTTTACAAATTACTGGCACATTGTTATTACAATATCGGATTTTAGATTGACTAACATAGTAACATAAACGATAATTACCTATTGTTTAGATTTAGATACTATTTATACATCAACATTA